AAAACAAAACCAGAAAATGAAGAACCAAAAGAAAAGAGTTACAAAAGAAGAGTGTGTGCATGTTCAGTACAGACACATTCTCCCCACACATTCAATGCTTGCCTATCTCAATGTATGTGCAAACAGAAGCCTCAGGTATGAAACCTAGGGTTGCAGAGGGCAGGCTGTCTATGTGTATATTAATCTTCATGTGTCTGCACATGTGTGTGGAGGCCAGAGGCTGACACTAGGTGTTTCTCCTCAGTTTTTTTTTCCCTTTGGTGTGTGTGTGTGTATGTGTGTGTTTGTGTGTGGTTTATTTGTTTAGAGACAGGGCTGGAATGGTCTGCCCCTTACGTAGACTAGGCTGGCTGTGAACTCACAGAGATCCGCCTACCTCTGCCTTCTTAATGCTGTGGCTAAACGTGTGTACTATCACACCTAGTTCCTCCTCAGTTTTTGAAACAGGGTCTCTCACTCAACCTGGAGCTCACCATCTCCACTAGACGGGCTGGTCAGTGAGCCCCAGTGCTGGGAATACAAGACTGTGCTTCCCTGCCTGGATTTTTTTTTGATGTGTACTAGGGTTTGAACTCAGGTCCTCATGGTTGCAAGGCAAGTACTTTGCTAACTAAGCCACTTCCCTAGTCCTGGCACTGTATCTATTCTGAGACACTACAACCACTCATGCCGGAGTGTGCCCCAGGAGCTGAGCCTCCCAAAGAGTTCACAGCCTATTCCCTGACCACCCCCTCTGCTACCTCCATCTCAGACTCCACTTAGGCATACTGGGTTCCTCTCCAGTACATCTTCCTCCCAAAGAGCCTGAGCCACTCACAGGTGGCCCTGTCTCAGATGACAGCTTTGCCATTCCTGTTGCTCAGGCTAAAATCCTGGGACTATCCTTGACTTTCTCTTTCACACCCACTTCCAATCTGTCATCAAAACCTGTTGGCACTGCACAAAACATTTATCCACCCACAGCCCAACTGCTTTTCACTGCCCTGCAGATGCTGGTCACAACTCCAGCATTCTGGCCAGAGGGAGTTTGGTCCTCCAGTTCCTTTGAAAGAGACAGACCACAGCTGTTCTCAACCCAGCTCTTCCTTCAGGTACCTCCTCAACAAGACTACATCTCCCAGAATGCCCTGCAACACGTAGAGATGGTAAATGAACAGCAGATATGGTCTCTTAGGGGCCAAGCCTCAACTTCTGGTCCCTACCAGCCAGTTAGGCAGGGCCTGGAAGGAGGCTTGGAGCTACAGGACAGGAAGAACCTGGGTGCCCAGGTACAAGGCAACAAGCACCTTGTATCAGGGGTACTGGACTTTTGCATGAGAAGCGAACTACAGTGTTACAAGGTAATAAGGTAGTATGGCAAGATGGTTCAGCAGGTAAAGGTGCTTGCCGCCAAGTATGAGAACCTGAGTTCCATCTCAGGAACCCACAGAATGGAAGGAGAGAACCAATTCCCACAAGCTGTCCTCTGACCTCCACACACGTGCAATGGCACACACACCCACACATACACAAATGAATTAAAAAGGGGGAGGTGGTGGTGGCTGGAGAGCTGGCTTGGCGGTTAAGAGCACTGTCTGCTCTAGCAGAGGACCGGGTTCAGTTCCCAGCACCTACATGGTGGATAACAACCATCTGTAACTCCAATTACAGGGGATCTGACACCCTCTTCTGACTTCCATGGGCATTGCACAACAAGTGTGCACTTACACACATGCAGGCAATACACTCATACACATAAAAATAATAAAATATTTTTTTAAAGAAGAGCTGCAGTATTGGTGGCAGGGCTTCCCTAAGTATCTTTCCTAATGCACTCGGTGAAGCACTCCCCATGGAGCACTCCAGCCCGAGTGGCCACATGCCCTGAATGATCTCCCTGTCCCTTCATCTCTTGCCCACACATTCTCTCTAGACTCCTATTCCTCAGGGACACTAGGCAGGTTCTGGCCTCAGACCTTTGCACTTGCTATCCCCAGCTCCCAGAAACGCTCAGACACTGGCAGCTCCTGTTCTCTTGCTCAGCCAGCTGCATGTAGCATCTACTTTCCCACGGAAGTTCCCTTGCCCATCTGACTCAAATAGCCCCACTTTCTTTTTTCCCAAAGCACTTGCTACCTTCCAGAGTAATTTTGTCTGTACTTAAGCTGTCTACTCTCAACTTCCCCTCAGAACAGAGCCATTCTAAAGAAGGGGGTCCCTGGGCAGCACTGCCCCCATCCAGAAGCCCCATGGACATAGTAAGGTGTGTCTGAATGAATAACACTATTCTCAGACCAACCTGTGACACCAAGGGCCCCAACACTGCGGCCAAGCCTTTGCTCCTGTCATACAGGAGACCTGGGATGGGGACCCTGAGTGACTGGCAGCTTCGCTCACACTTGTCACATGGCTGGGTATGCTGTCTGGGGCCCCTGAATTCTATGACCCCAGAGCCCAGCTGGAGCTTGCCTTGAGCTATGTGAGCCCAAGCATCTCACAGAATCCCTGTGCATTAGAGATATTTAATGGAGAAATAGACCTGAATGGCTTAGGACAGACAGGAGTTAAAAATGACCACTCTTACTTAATTTTTTAAATTTTTGAGACAGGGTCTCCCTGTAGGCCCAGCTGGGCTGGAACTCACTGTGTAGACTAGGCTCATTTTGATCTCAAAGAGATCTGCCTGCCTGTGCCTTCTGAGAGCTGGGATTAAAGGTGTGCCCAACCACACCTGGCTGGTTCTTTTCTTTAAGGCAGTCCTGGCCCTGTCCACCCCAAATGTGAGCCAGATAAACCTTTTCTCCCTGAAGGAGGTGTAGTCACACCAGGCCTATGGGTGTCGTCTGGCATTACAAGGGGGCTGAAGAGATGGCTCAGCAGTTAAGAGCACTGGCAGCTCTTGCAAAGGACCCAGGTTCAATACCCAGCACACACGTGGTGGCTAATAAACATCTGTAACTCCAGTTCTAGGGGATCTGACACCTTCTTCTGAACTCCTTGGACACTGCACAACAGGAGTGCACTTACATACATGCAGGTAATACACTCATACATTAAAAAAATAAATAAATAAAATATTAGAAACAAAAACAAAGTGAGTTAAGGCCAGCCTGGGCAACTTGATGATACCCTGCCCACACAGTTCATAAAAAGTTTAATGGTGAAGGTGCTTGTCTAGTATGTGGAAGGCTCTGGGTCCCATCCCAAGCATGAAAGGAAAAGAAAAAGGCAAACCAAAGTCTATGACTTCTGGTCCTCAGTCCCAGTGGAAGGTTCTCAGGCTGACTTCTGAGACATGTAGAGAGGCCCCAGGACAGGTTGGAGATAATACCACTTCCCTCCCTGGCAGACATGGCCAACGAGCACAAGGCTTATTCCCCGAAGCCCAGATCTAGAGGTCAGTGTTGGCTTGGGGTGTCACTATCCAGCCTCAGCAGGAACCAGATGGATCAGTTCCCATTCTCCTGGGCTCTAGGTTTCTTCAATGACTGTGAAGCAGGACTGATGACAGGGTTGTGGGGAGGATTCAGATGGCTCAGGGCAGGGGGCATAGTCAGGCCAAAGAGGGGGGTCATGAAGCAGACGACACCTGACTGCTGGGAGCCTGGCTGAGGCCCAGCAGGTTGACCATGGATGTAGAGTGTAGAAGCCTACCAGAAGCACCTTTAGTCCTGGCTTCCCCTCAGCCAGCTGGGATGCCACCTGCTCTGTGATGCCTGCCAGCTTGGGTTCAGCCTCGGTGACCAATCCAACCCTCAGGCTTGGCACAGCCCTTGGTAACAGGCCCTATAGACCTTTTCAGTCATGCTATAGTACCAAGATAGCAGGCAGCCCTATCTACCTCAGAGCATACCTGGACCTTCCTCAGTCTCTCAGCCTCAGTGGGCAGTTAGCCCAGTGTCATGTTGTGTATAGTAGGAGAGGGAGGGAGAGGGACATGGAGAATGATGGACAGATGGGCTGGGGAAAGGAAACAGGAGGAAACAGAAGATCAAAGATAGGCAAGATGTTGGAGTGCAGTGGCCCAGGCCTGTGACTCAAGCTAGCCAAGATGCTGAGACAGAAGGATTACAAATTTGTGGCTTACTTGAGTTAAAGAGAATTCAAAGCCAGCAAGGGTAACTTAGTGAGACCTTGTCTCAAAGTAAAAAGAGGGTTGAAAAAAAAAAAAAAAGAGGGCAGAAGATATAGCTCAGTATTTGCCTAAAATCTCCCAGTGAGGGACTGCAAACATGCCATACTTGCACACCTGTAATCCCAGGAGTTGGTAGGCTGAGGTAGGAGAGGTATCCTAAATTTGAGACCAGCCTGGGCTACAATAGCAAGACCCTGCCTTAAGGAAAAACAAAGCTAAGCATGGTGGCGCACACCCTTAAACCTAGCACTCAGGAAGCAGAAGCAGGTGATCTATATGAGAGGGCAGCCTTATCAACAAGGTAAGTTCCAGGCCAGCTGGGACTACAGGGAGACCCTGTCTCAAAAAACAAACACAAACCAAGAAAAACCCTTCAGATTTTAAAAAATAAAAGAGATTAGGCTGGGCGTGGTGGCGCAGGCCTTTAATCCCAGCACTTGGGAGACAGAGGCAGGCAGATCTCTTGAGTTCAAGGCCAGCCTGGTACATATCAAAAACACCTGTCTCAAAAACACCAAAATAAATAAATAAATAAATAAATGTAAAAAAAATAAGAGATTAACAAACAACAAAAAAGAACAACCCAGGTGAAGAGAGGTGGGGAGTGAGGAGAGGGGGTGGGACCAGGGAAAGAGTGAGTGTGAGTGCCAGGTTTGAGGAGCTGGAGGAAGTTAAAGCTGGCAGGGTACTCAGCTGGAGTCTGTGAAGGGCGTAGTCAGTCACTGCCCCTGGCTGTTATGGCTAGCAGGCTGGGAGGCAGGCAGAGGGATCTACCTATGTGGAATGTACAGACCCCCCCTCCCCCCATGCCTGCTGTCCCTGGTGCCCTGCCCTGTGCACACACCTTTGTCACTTTCAGGCTCTGAGTCGCTGAGGGGTTTGAGAGGAGAATGCAGGTCCTGGAAGTAACGGTGGCCAGCCTCACACTGCCACACAGCTGTGGTGTACAGGCCAAAAGTGGGGTCCAGTTCGGCCAGGTGAGGCTCATATGGGCAGCGGTGCTTGTGGTCTTCATACCAGATTACCACGTTCTTCAGGCAGTTCACATTGCGTCGCCGCCCTGTGGACACAGGCCCAATGGATGAGTGTGAGGACAGGTGCTTAATGGCTTAATGGCTCCCTCTTGAATCCTGTACCCATTTTGCAGAGGGAAAACTGAGGTTTGGAGACTTAAGACACACTCTAAAGACAACCAGAACCTGGTATAGCCAATGAAATCATACAGTGGAAGCTGGCACAGAGTAGGTGCACAGTAATGGATAGCTGATTGAAGGTGTGCACCACCGTCTTTTTCCTTTTTTTTTTTTTTAAATCTTTTGAGCCAGGGTCTCCCTGTAGCCCCAGTTGGCCTGGAACTCTCTATGTAGACCAGGCTGGCCTTGAACTCACAAAGATCCTTCTGCCATGTCTGGCTCTTTTATTTATTTATTTATTTATTTATTTTTTATTTATTTAGTCTTTTTTGAGATAGGGTCTCTCTGTAGCCCTAGCTGGCCTGGATTGCTATGGAGACCAGGCTGGCCTCAAACTCGAGGAGATCCACCTGCCTTTGCCTCTCAAGTGCTGGGATTAAAGGTGTGCACCACCAGGCCTGGCCAATTTTATTATTTTTGTTTAATGTCTATGAGTATGTAAGTGCATGCATGTAAGTGCAGCCATGTTGTGCAATGCCAGTGGAGGTCAGAAGAGAGCATCAGATCCCCTGGAACTGGAGTTACAGATAGTTGTTAGCCACCATGTATGTGCCGGGGCTAGAACCTGGATGCTGTGGAAGAGCAGCCAGTGCTCTTAACCCCTAAGCCATCACTCCAGGCTCCGTCTTTTACTTTTTTTTTTTTTTTTTTTTTTTTTTTTTTTTTTTTTTTTGGCCTTCTGCCTGGAACTCCTAGAGATCCACCTGCCTCTGCCCCGCAAGTGCTGGGACTAAAGGTGTGTGCCACCATGCCCAGCTCAGCTTTTTCACTTTTTAAACAGACTCTCACTATCTAGTCCAGGTTGGCCTGGAACTCAGAGATCCATCTGCCTCTGCTTCCTGAGTGCTGGAATTAAAGCATGAGTCATCACACCCAGCTAGCTATTTCTTAATAATCATCTTCATCAACACCTCTAGTCTAGATCAAGATGCCTTGGTTTCCCTGGGGTCTTCATACTACCCCCCATAGCCACCAGAGGGTGCTGGTAAGCAGGGCCTGTCCCCTCTCAGCTCAGAATCCAGAGAAGCGTCTTCATCAAAAGGGGGGGTGGGAGGATGGAGAGCACACGCCACCTCTATTTACCACTGCTGGGTCCCATCCTTTCAGTGTCATCCCCCTCTTCTCTCTCCTCAAGCCACATGGCCTCTGTCCCTCAAGTGAGAAAGGTATAGTTCTGCCTCAGGACCTTCGTACAAGCTATGTCACCTTCCTCCACACAAATCCCTCCCCTCAGCAGCTACTCCACCCGAGGTCACACTAGACAACTGTGGCTTGTTTGTTTAAACAGCACCCAGAGGCTACAGCCTGCTACTATTCATTCAAATGTCTGTCTCCTCCAGTAGAATGCCACCCTCCCCCAGGCAGAGATAATATCTATTTTGCTTCCTTGGGTTGGCCAGGCAGAAGCTCCACAGACATTTGCTGGGTGAGGCTGCTAGGGCCTGGCTTTGCCAGCACCTTACTGTGTGACTGAGTGAGTGGTTCACTTCTCTGAACTCCAGTTTCCTGTTGTGAATCAGGGGAAAACAGGATTCCTCTTGAGGGATGCCAGGCATGGGGGTGGAGTGGGAGGGTTGGGGGGAGGGAGCAAAGATACTAAAGTGCACAGAGAAGGCAGGACCTACAGGTAGTACTATGGGGGGGTTGGCCACCTGTAGGGCTGGACAGGATAGGGCCCCCCCAAAAGTCTTAGGGCCTAGGAAGGCGTCTTCATTTTAGTGACAAAAACAGGAATGACAGGGGTTTCAACAGCAGCTGCTTCTCCGGTCTAAGGCTCCCTAGCCCTCTGAGGTCAGAGTAGAGCCTTGCCTCTACCTCCAAGAACTTGTGTGCCAAGATGGGCATGGTACGGCAAGCCTGTCATTCTAGCACTTGGGAGGCTGAGGGAAGAGAACTGTAAGTTTGAGGCTAGTCTGAGTTACATAGCAAAATTATCTCAGAAAAATAAAGTAAGCCAGCAAGATGGCTCCAGTGATAAGGCTAGAGAAATGGCTCAATGGTTAAGAGGGCTTCCTGCTCTTCCAGAGAATCTGAGTTCAGTTCCAGCGCCCAGGCTGGGGGGCTTAGATCCACCTTAACTCCAGCTCCAACGTATCCAATGATGTCTTCTGGCCTCCGTGGGCTTTGCACGTATTGGTGCACTTACATACATGCAAGCAAAACACTCATACACATAAAATATAAATACATCAAAAAATATTCTTTTAAAAAATCTTTGGGGGGCGCTGGAGAGATGGCTCAGCAGTTAAGAACACTGGTTGTTCTTGCAGAAGACCCAGGTTCAAATCTCAGTACCCACATGGCAGCTAACAACTGTCTGTAACTCCAGTCCCAGGGGATCCGACAGCCTCTTCTGAGTTCCGCGGGCATTGCACAACATGGATGCACTTACCTACATGCCGGCAATACACGCTAATAGGTAAAAAGTTGGCAGAGAATGAATGAATGGATGATGAGGCACCGAGGCACAGCTAAAACGCCATCAAAATAGGGTTTATTAGCAAAGGAACACATGGGACAGATTCCCTTCCGGGCATGGAAAATGTCTGCCCAGGTCTTGAGCTGGGGTCTTTTAAAAAGGGAGGCTTCTGCTTCCTGCAGAAGGTGGGAAGATGTATTTTTTTTAAAGTTGGGTGGGGGTGGGGAGTGGGAGAGTGAGACTGTTAAAACCTGTCCTCTTTAGAGATCAAAGGGGAAGCCTGCTGTGTTGGCCAAACAGTGGAGAAAAGTCTGCTTCTCTTGACTTCAAAGACCAAGGTGCTTATCAACTAGGTTCCCTTTTCTCAGGAGCATGAGAAGTCCTTGGGATCCTGTTGGTGAGGGGCAGGGCTATCTGAACCTTAACACACGCGTACACATAAAATAAAAATAATAAATAAAAGAAAGGAAAAGAAAATCTGTAGGGCACTGGGCATGATGGTGCATCTCTTTAATCCCAGCAATTGAAAGGCAGAAAGGCAGGTAGACCTCTGTGAGTTTGGCCAGCTGGGGCTACAGGGAGACCCTGACTCAAAAAGACAAAAAAAAAAAAAAAAAAAAAAAAAATCTTTAGGGGCTATAAAGATGGTTTAGCAGTTAGAGCATTGCCTGCTCTTCTTACAGAGGACCCAAGTTTGGTTCCCAGCACCCACATGGAAATTAACAACTGCCTGTAACTCCAGTTCCAGAGGATCTGACACTCTCTTCTGGCCTCTAGAGGCACTGTACACACATGGTGTACTTACATACCTATAGGCAAAAACACTCATACACATAAAATAAAAATTAATATTAAAAAATTATTAGCCAAGTGTGATGGCATGCCTTTAATCCTAGCACTTGGCAGGCAGAGGCAGGATGATCTTTGTGAGTTCAAGACCAGCCTGGTCTACATAGTGAGTTTCAAGCCACCCTACTATAGGGAGACCCTGTCTCAAAAAGACCAAAAAAAAAAAAAAAAAAAAAAATTAAAACTAGGGGCTAGAGAGATGGCCCACCAGTTAAGAACACTTGTTCTTCCAAAGGACCTGGATTTGGTTCCCAGCACTTTCATGGAGGCTAACAACTGTCCATAACTCCAGTTTTAGGGGATCAGACACCCTCTTACGGTCTCTGTGGGCACTGTATGCACATGGTACACTTATATGCATGCAAACAAAACACTGATACACATAAAATAAAAATAATAAAAAAGTTTTTTTAAATAAGAGGTCTGGAGAGACAGATGGCTCAGTGGTTAAGAGCACTGGCTCCTCTTACAGAGAACCTGAGTTCAATTCCCAGCACCCACATGGCAGCTAACAACAATCTGTAATTCTAGTTCCAGGGAATCTGCTCTCTTCTGACTTCCGCATGCACTGCACGACACAGGTGCACTCACATACATGCAGGCAATACAACTCATACACCTAAAATAAAAACAATAAAATATTTTTTAAAATATTAAAACTAGGGGCTGGAGAGATGGCTCAGCAGTTAAGAACACTGGTTGTTCTTGCAGAAGACCCGGGTTTGAATCCCAGCACCCACATGACAGCTAATAACTGTCTGTAACTCCAGCCCCAGGGGATCTGACAGCCTCTTCTGTCCTCCGTGGGCATTGCAGAACATCGGTGCACTTACCTACATGCAGGCAATACACGCATACGCATAAAATAAAATTTATTTTTAAGAAATAAAATAAAATATTAAAACTAAATAATTCTTTGAAAAAGGATGGCTCAGCAAGTAAGGGCGCTTGCCACCAGTTTGACCACCTGTGTTCAATGCACAGAATCCCCACTTGATGAAAGCTGATAACCAAGTCCCAGAAGTAACAGTTCTCTGACCTTCACACCTGTGCTATGTGTGTACATGCACATACACACAAATAGACACTAAAACATTTTTTTTGAATTAGAGAGCTGGGGACCTAGCTACCTGCCTACCATGCAGGAAGTCCTGGGCTCCATTTCCAGCACCAAATAAACCCACAAACTGTGCATTCTTGTCATGCCAAGATTCAGAGGCATTCTTGCTATACAGTGAGTATGCTGGATAGCTTCAGTTGTCAACTTGAGGGAAGAGGGACCCTCAACTGAGGCGCTTCATCCATCAGATTGGCCTGTGACCATGTCTGTGAGTCATTTAAAAAAAAATATTTTATTTATTATTTTTTATGTATGTGTGTATTGCCTGCGTGTAGGTAAGTGCAAACCCATATCATGCAATGCCCGCGGAAGACAGAAGAGGCTGTTGGATCCCCTGGAACTGGAGTTATGGACAGTCGTTAGCTGCCATGTGGGTGCTGGGGTTCAAACCCGGGTCTTCTGTAAGAACAACCAGTATTCTTAAATGGTGAGCCATCTCTCCAGCCCCATGAGTTATATTCTTAATTGTTTGCTGATGTGGGAGGACCCAGCCCATTGTTGGTGGTACCACTCTTGGGCAGGTGGTCCTGTGTTGTATAAGAAAGCAGGCTGAGCACAAGTCAGAGGCACAAGCCAGCAAGTAGTGTTCCTCCACAGTCTCTTATTCAGTTCCTGCCCTGACCTCCCTCAGTGATCAACTGTGATGTAAAATAAAATAAATCCTTTCCTTCCCAAATTCATTTGGTCAGTGTTTTTAATCACAGCAACAGCAAGTAACTAGCACAGTGAGTTTGATGCTAGCCTGAGTTACATGAGACCATGCAACCAAAGGGAAAGGAAAGAAAGAAAGACCTGGTGTGGTGATGTACACCTTTAATCCCACCATTTGGGATGCAGAGGCAGGATAATCTCTGTGAGTTTGAGGCCAGTCTGGTCTACATAGCAAGTTCTAGGCCAGCCAGTGCTACATAGTGAGACCCTGTCTCAAAACCACCAAAATATTTAAAAAAACAAAACAAAACAAAACAAAACAAAACAAAACGGGTGGTGATGGACAGGGCTAACTGCCACCATGTAGCTCTCCCTTGGACTACTGGCCTTCACCCTGCTGAGCATGATCCATCCACAGTCCCAAGACTTGGCAGGGCACTGAGAATGTGCTGAATGGGGCCTGTTTAAACTCCACCAACATGGGGCCAACTGGGCAGGAGTGCCCCTGCAGGCTGGCACATGGATAGCAGACTGTACTCCCAGTAGACTAGGGTGGTACCTCTAGGCCTTGGTCTCTCCCTACTCCCATGCCTCCCCACACAGTGGCTGCACTTACTTTTCTTCCTCTTTGGCTTTTTGGGGACTTGCTCCCAAGGCTTCCTGCAACAGAGAGAGGCAGTGGAGGTGAGTATGGGTCAGGCAGGCCCAAGTCCTCGCCTGCGGGTCATCTGACTCTGGGGTTGAACCTGAACTTCTGTGGCCCTGGTTCCCTTTGCAGCAGCTCTTGCTTCGGGCCAACCACCTCTGAGAGCAGCCCTGAACAGGTGTAATGCCATCACTTTTCCCACAGTGGACACTGGGGCACAGAGGGGTGAGGCCACCTGCCTTGGTCCTGATCAGGCAATAAAGATGGCAGACGGAGGTTTGGGGGAAAGGATTCTAAGGGGCTCCATGATTCCCACCCCCAGGACACATTCTCCCGTCAGCCTCTGTATTTACCAGATCCACCAATCACAGATGGAAAATATTAGGAGTGCTGGTGCCAGCCTGTCTTCCCAGCATTCAGAAATAGAGATTGAAGGATCATAAGTTTGAGGCCAGCCTGGGTGATTTTGAGAGGTCAAGGGCAGCCTAGGTTATGTGGAGAGACTGTCTCAAAATACAAAATGAAGAAAAATATATATAAGATGAAGGCAGTAAGTATGGCTTCACTGTGGTAAAGTGCTTGCTTAGCATGCAAAAGGCCTTGGGCTGCATCCCCAGTATCACAAAAACCAGGAAGTTCAAGTCATCTTTGGCTATATAGCCAGTTGGAGGCTAGCTAGTCTGGGGTACATGAGACCTGTCTCAAAAATTCCAGAAAGAAAGGGAGAAAAAAAACAAAAAACTAAACAAACCCAACAATCAAGCCAGGTTACATGTAGCTAATCCCAGCACCTAAGAGGCAGAGGTAGGCAGATCTCTGTGAGTTCCAGGCCAGTTTGGGCTGCATAGTGAGATCCTGTCTTAAAATAAAATTTAAAAATAAAGTAAAATAATCAATCAAACAAACAAAATCAGCTGGGTGTGGTAGTGCACGCCTGTAATCCCAGCACTTGAGAGGCAGAGGCAGGCAGATCTCTGTGAGTTCAAGGCCAGCCTGGTCTACATAGTGAGTCCCAGGCC